GATTTCAAGTTTCTGTTATAGAGGTCTTTCACTTCCTTGATTATGTTTATTAATGATTTTATTTTCTTGGAGACTGTTGTGAAAGGGAGTCTGTTCACGATCTCTTTCAGTGTGTTTATTGTTGATACATAGAGACTGTGTGCATTGCCCCTTGTTCTAGCCAGGGCTTCTGTTGCTGTGATGAAACACATGACTGAAGGAAACTGGTGTCTTAGTGTTCTGTGCTGTGGAGAGACACCGTGACCAAGACAACTTTTATGAAAGAAAACATTTTTTTTAAATATTCATTTATTATGCATACAGTGTTCTGCCTGCATGTATCCTTGCAGTCCAGAAGAGGGCACCAGAAATTGAACTCAGGACCTCTGGAAGAGCAACCAGTACTCTTTTTTTTTTTTTTTTTTTTTGGTTTTTCGAGACAGGGTTTCTCTGTGGCTTTCGAGCCTGTCCTGGAACTAGCTCTGTAGACCAGGCTGGTCTCTAACTCACAGAGATCCACCTGCCTCTGCCTCCCGATTGCTGGGATTAAAGGCGTGCACCACCACCACCCGGCTTTTTTTGTTTTTTTTTTTTCGAGACAGGGTTTCTCTGTGGCTTTGAGCAACCAGTACTCTTAACCTCCGAGCCATCTATCTCCCCAGCTCCTAAAGGAAAACATTTAACTGGGTCTTGCTTACAGTTTCAGAGATTTAGTCCATTATCCTCATGCATTGGAACATGTCCAAATGCAGGCAGACATAGTAGCTGAGAATTATATCTGGATCTGCAGGCAACAGGAAGAGAGCCACCGGGTCTGGCTTGGGCTCTTGAAACCTCAGAGCCCACTTCCAGTGACTCACTGCCCCAACAAGGCCACAGCTCCTAGTCCTTTTAAACAGTACCACTCCCAGGTGACCAAGCATTCAAATTTTTGAACCTATGGGAGCCAATATTATTTCAATCACCCAGGAGGAAATGCTTTGTTTGACTTATACTGCCACATTGTAGTCCATCACTGAAGGAAGTCAGGACAGGAACTCAAGCAGGGCAGGAGCTGATACAGAGACCATGGAGGGTACTGCTTCCTGGCTTGTCTTTCATGGCTTGTGTAGCCTGCTTCCCTTTGTTTCTTTCATTCCTCTCTCTCTTTCTCCTCCCTTTCCCTCCACTCAAAATAGGGTGTCTTTGTGTAGCCTTGGCTGTCCTGGAACTAGCTCTGTATACTAGGCTGGACTTGAATTCAGAGATACTCCTGCTTCTGCCTCCTGAGTGTTGGCATTAAAGGTGTGTGCTACCATAGCCTGGCCATCCTGCTTGCTTATGAACCCAGGACCTCCAGCCCAGAGTTGCACCACTCACAATGGACTGGGCCTTCCTGCATCAGCCACCGTTCAAGGAGATGTCCCATAGGCTTGCCTACAGCCAGTTTTACAGGGCACTTTCTCTGGAGTCAGCTTAGCTGCTCTGCCCTTTTATGGTAGCCCTGGTGGTCGGGATATCTCTCAGCAGTCTTCATTGCTCATATGTGCTTGGGGAGGGAGATGTCATGAGTCTGGTCAGTTTCAGGGACTTCCTGAAGCTACTGTCTTACTTACCGAGTTTAAGGAACCTCTCTGAAGAGTGGAATGTTTCACCTCCCTTTTAGCGTCCTGTACCTCTGGGACTGGGGAGAGGGATCTGATGCTCTTTTGGCTTCTACCCTCGGCTTCTGGCCTCCATGGCACCAGGCACATACATACATGTGGGCAAAACACTCATACATATAAAATTTAGAAATCTAATTTCTTTAAACATCTTGTCTTGCCGGGCGGTGGTGGCAGAGACTAGTGCCCCTGGGAAGGGGAGACCCTTGCAAAGATGTGACAGAGCTGGACTTCAAATGGTGGCGCACGACTTTAATCCCAGCACTTGGGAGGCAGAGGCAGGCGGATCTCTGTGAGTTCGAGACAAGCCTGGTCTACAAGAGCTAGTTCCAGGACAGGCTCCAAAGCCACAGAGAAACCCTGTCTCGAAAAAACAAAAACAAAAAACAAACAAACAAAAAAAAAACCAAAAAAAATCTTGTCTTTTTTTTTTTTTCCATTTTGAGATATGATTTCTCTGTGTAGCTCTTGCCGTCCTGGAACTCTGTAGACCAGGCCTTGAACTCACAGAGATCTGCCTGCCTCTGCCTCTGAGTACAGGAATTAAAGGCTTGCACCTCCACTGCCCAGCTATATTCTTCTTAACATGCACCTTGTACCAAGTGGGGAAGTCCTCAGCCCTGAACTATATACTCTTTATTTATTGATTTTTTTGTTTGGCTTTTTATGAACATAATTTTTTAATTAATTTTTTTAATGACTTATTTATTTAGTATGCATAGTGTTCTGCCTGCATGTGTGCCTATACGCCAGAAGAGGGCACTAGATCTCATTTTAGATGGTTGTGAGCCACCATGTGGTTGCTGGGAATTGAACTCTTGATCTTTAGAAGAGCAGCCAGTGCTCTTAACCTCTGAGCCATCTCTCCAGCCCTTAATTAATTCTTTGGGAATTTCACATCCCAATCCCACTCATTTGCTAGTTCCTCTGTATCTTGTATGTCCCCTGTCAAAGGAAAACTAAAAAAAATTATAAAAATAAGATAAAGGGCTGGAGAGATGGCTCAGTGGTTAAGAGCACTGCCTGCTCTTCCAAAGGTCCTGAGTTCAATTCCCAGCAACCACATGGTGGCTCACAGCCATCTATGATGAGATCTGGTACCCTCTTCTGGCATGCAAGCATACAGGGAAGGAATGTTGTACATAATAAATAAATCTTAAAAAAATAAGGTAAAAATAAAAATGCAAATAATGTTAAAGACAAAACAAGACAAAAACTAAATAAAGCAAATAAGACAAAAACTACTTTGCTCCTTCATCTTTCCAGCCTCTCCGCCACCTCTTTATTTGTCTTGGTGGCCTTGGGAGCTGTGTGTCACAGTAGACCCTTTTGTCCAGCTCTTCACTTCATTGTGTGATGTGTTGGGTCAGGTTCAAGGCCTCTGGCTTCTGGTACACCGTCAATGCTGGACCCTCACCGACTCTCCTCCCTGGTATCTGTGGTTCTCCAGAGCCATGGAGACCCTGTGTTTACATGCTCCAGCGGACGTTAGAGCGTGTCTGGGTGGTGACTGGGTTCTTCCGACCCTGACCAGGCTCCTGGGAACACCTCCATCAGGTGAGTGGATGAGTCAGCTTTCCCCTGCCAGGGTCATGGGGGTCCATGGCCCTCGAGGGATGGGGTCAGCATTCCCAATGCCAGTGAGGGGCGGGGTCAGCTCAGCATGGCCTTCATGTTTCAACACATGGCTCACATGGGCCACTGTGGTCACAGGGGCAGTGGACATCAACACAGACTCCAGCTGCAGCAGACCACGGACCCAGATGTGGCCCTCAGCAGCAGCATGGGCCCAGTGGCAGTGTCGGCCACGCAGATCACTGTCACACTGGCTGCTGGGTGGCCCTTGGACACCAACATGGCCCCAGGTGGGAGCCCAGACCCAGGCAGCCGTACGACCTTCAGTGGTAACAGGTGTCATGACATCAGCACAGACTGATGCTGCAACAGGGCCATGGACCCAGACATGACCCTTGGCAGCAGCCCAGGTCCAGATGTCACCATGGCCCAGAGTGGCAAGCAGGCCTCCCACATGAACCTGTTCTTCACTGCCTTCTCTTCTTCAGATCTGCTCCTCTCCACAGGACAGGAACTATTCTGTCTGTCTGTCTCTCTCTCCCATACCCCACCATGTATTTGCACCACAACAGCACCCGATGCCAGGCGCCTCAAGGCAAATGACTCGGTGTGCGTGCATGCGTGTGTGTGTGTGTGTGTGTGTGTGTGTGTGTGTGTGTGCCTGTCCACCTCCACCCACTCAGTCCTCATAGTGCTGAACATGCTTGTAAGATTCTTCTCATTTTGTTTTTTTGAGACAGGGACTGGATGTGGCTATATACATAATAAGAGAGATATGCCACTACCTCCTGAGTACTGGGACTAAAGGTGTGTGTCATCATATTTGACTGCACTGTGCTTTTAAAAATTTTATATTTATAACTGGGCGTAGTGGCACACACTTTAATCCCAGCACTCAAAAGGCAGACATAGATGGATTTCTGTGAGTTCGAGGCCAGCCTGGTCTGCAAAGCAAGCTCCAGGACAGCCAGGGCTGTTACACAGAGAAACCCTGTCTCGAAAACAAAACAGAATGAAGAACTACATTTTATTTATGAATGTGTCTGTGTGTGTTTGCACATGTACCATGATGCCTGTTGGAGATCAGACGATAGGTTGCCAGAATCTGTTCCGGCCTTACATTTTGTGGGTCCCTGAGACTGAATGTAGTTCATTAGGCTTGGCAGCAAGTGCCTTTATCAGATAAAGACATGCCATCGTCCTCTGATGCACTATTCTCTGATGTCATGTATTTCAGATTGGCAGCATTGGTCATTTTGTTAGTATATTTCAAGGGCTCAGTAGCTACCATACTGACCAGTAGTAACCATACTGTACACCATCACACAGGCAGAGACAAACGTGGTTTCTGCTTATAGGGTCAGCTCGATTGACCGTGGGGGGTGGGTGGTGGTGTTAGGAAGGAGCAGCGAAGACACTGCAGAAGGCGGTGCAGGCTTTCTTTTCCTTCCTCGACTCACGGTGTACGGAGTTCTTTCAAGGGTCCTGGTGATAATATCAGAGGTTTCACGTCTTAGGCGTCTCAGCCTCAGTGTTAGAATTCGCCCCGAAGCGCTGTCTGCCCCTTAATCTCAGCCCTCCGGGTCGCTCAGCGCTTTGCTCCGGTTCTGGTGCACTGACCTGCAAGGGGCGGGGCCCGACGGTGCGCTGCGCCGAGGCTCTCTTTTGATTGGTTGGTGACCCTGCTTTAATCTTGCCTGCCTAGATGGGAGGGGAGGAGTTAAGTATCCCCCCGCCCCACGTTGAGTCTCGGATGCTGATTGGTTGGTCGTGTGGCGCGAGCGGTGGGTGCACCTCACGCTGATTGGCCCGCGCGATGCGCGCGTAGGGAGGGGCGGAGCCGGAGTTAGTGGAGCACGGCTACCGGCGTTAAGTGCCTGGGCAGTGTTTGTGCGGCCGGGCGGCACCTGAGCTGCAGCGGAGCGGCGCCATCCTGTGGAGGAGCCATGAAGCACTACGAGGTAAGCGGCGCGGGGCCCGGGCCGTGGCTGCCGCAGACCGCACAGTCCCGTTCGGGGCCTCGGGACCCTCTATTATGGCCCGGCTCCTCGCCGATGGCGCAGGCGCGGTGTGCTCGGGGCCTGCTGGTAAATATCATTGCGCATGTGCAGGAAGGTATTTTTTGCTACCCCGGCGTTTTGGGGGATACCTTTTCTTAGAATCTTGCAGGGACAGGGAGAAGCTTGCAGCTTCCTTGCAGCATCCTCGGTGGCCCGCGTGGCAGGTGTTCAGAAGTGCAGTGCGGAGAACTTGTTCTTGGTGCGAGCAATTCTCTTGCACAACCCTTGCACGGCCTCAGCGCCCGGGGCTCAGGAAGGGGCTCTGCAGCTGGCCTGCCTCTTCCGACCTTCGCACCCACTCTTCGCTCTTGATGCCTGGGCTGCGAGGGAGTTGGTTACGGCAGCCGGTGACCTCTAGGGAAGAAGTCTGAACGCACAAGATCATTCTGGAAACTTAAGCCTTCTGACTCTAAGTCTTGGGTCCCTTTTCCTCTTAAAACAAAGTCTTGGGATTCTCTTTTCGATCAAACTGATGATACTAGTTTTGTTATTGCTGACTTTTAAGTAACTATCATAAAACAGTAGCCGGTTGCTCACATTCATGGAAAGGATGCGTTAGTTTTACTACGATTCTGTTATCTTTGTCCTACTGAGATTGGATGCTTACTTAATCTCTTACTGGTAATGTAGGTGAAAGTTAGAACTGTCAAGTGAGTTGTCGAAAGGTCCCAACTAGTATCTGCAGAACAGAGAGAGGGAACGAAGATTTCAAAGGCATAATTCCTAGCCACAAGCCATGCAGTGGTTCCATAAATGGGAGCTAGGAAATTAAGAGATTGCTTGTCTTTCTCCCCACATTGTGATGAAACTTGCTCATTTTCCTCGGTAGCCATTTTACTGTACAAATCAGCATTATTAAGTCTACATATTGTTCAAATTTCACCACTGTCCAATAGGTTGTGTGTTGTTCCCCTGCCCCCATCTCTGCAGCTCTTTGTATTGCTAGGGATGGAGCTAAGGCCCTGCACCTGCTAGGCAAGCCTCTTAAACTTTTTTTAATCTTGTAAAATTGAAACTCTACACTCATAGAGTATCTTTCCATTTCCCACTTTCCCAGACCCTGGCAACCACCTCTTGTCTCTGGAAATTGGAATACTTTAGGAATCTCCAATATATGGGAGATAATTTTATTTTTATAACAAATTGAATACTACTACTTTTAGTGATCTCTATTTTGATTATTTTTATATGTAATAAGTATAATAATATTGTAAAGCTATTATAATTATTTTAAATTTCCCCAGGTCCTTTGACACCTTTAGTCTAGAAGAGCTCTATCTTTTTTAACAGGTGACAAGAGCCAGGAGGTGGGAGTCTGTAATCCTTATGCTTCCCCCAACTCTGTGCTTTCAAAAGGAAGTTTCTTGTTTTTGTTTCCCCCTAAAGTGCTTTCCCTGTCACTCCTCCTCCCTTGCCCTGGGGCAGAAGCCGTGTTCAGTTTGAAGAGTACTGGTAGAAGGCGGAATTTGCAGTCTGTAATTTGCTCCTTGAAAATCAGGCCGGGTAGGTTTTGAGGACCATGGAGGTGGGTGCTTTGGTTCTAGGAACCTGAGCATAACCTGGGGCTCCTGGTTTGGCCTGGAAATAGGCTCCAGTGTTCTTCAGTCTCTTCTTTGCCGTGTTTCTCAGCCCTAGATGGGCTGCTGGTAGCCCAGCGCTGGAGCCCTTGTTTCCCATGCATGCATGAGGTTCTGGGTTCCACCTCAGCATTGCACAACAGAGGCAGATAAGAACCAAACTGGGGAACAGGGTTGCAGTTCATTTGGTAGAGACTTTTCCTTATGTGATTGAATCCCTGGCATGGAATAAAGCCAGGCAAGCTGGCACACGCCCTTAGTTCTAGCTCTGTGGGAGATGGAGGCAGAGGATCAGGTGTTCAAGGTTATCTTCAACAACATAGTGACTTTGATGCCAACCTGGGCTAGAAATCCTGTCTCAAAAATCCAAACCAAACAGAATAGACAAACAACAACAACAAAACAAATCCCCCCAAATAAACAGAAAGCCAAGGTGACCTTGGAGGGAAAAGTTATTTTGCAGTGTTTTGTTATTCCCTGTCGACATTTGTCCAGTAGCCCCGGAGACCATCGTTTTGGGATGGGAGCATCCACTATCTTCTAGCCCAGTTTTCGGAACTCTTGGTGCAGATCAATAAAAATGGGAGCTATCCTTTCAGTTAAGATCTTGGGGAAAAGTGTCAGATACCAACATTGAAGAACAGATTTCTGGAATGTTTGGCTCACATGCAGGAGGCCCTGGGCTCCATCTCTAGCACTGCGGAAACCAGGCATGGTGGCTCATGCTTGGAGGGGAAGGCATTGGGATTAGAAGTGCACAGAATTTTTTTTTTTGGACAGGTTTTCTCTGTAACCCTAGTCCTGTAGACCAGGCTAGGCTCGAACTCAAAGATCCATCTGTCTCTCTAGGAGCTGGGTTTAAAAGCATATGCTACCATGCTTAGCTAAAAATGTATATTAGAAAAGCAAAATAATAGATGTTTTGAAGGACTGAGTCCATCCTTTACCCGCAGGCAGCCTTCAGTCCTCGGGAAGGCCTCCTCTCTCAAAAGGCTTCCGTGGACACAGTGAGATGGCTCATCTGGTAGAGGCGTAAGGCCTGCTTGAGTTTGATCTCTGCACTCTGCACACAAGATGGCAGGAGAGAACTGACTTTCAAGAAAGACTTTTTGTCCACAGACACACACCTGGGATACTATGATGTACACTGGCTGTTTTGGACTTGGTGAGATGGAACCCAGGATCTTGCACTCAGCTGCACTGCCAGCCTGAGGGACCGCTAATATGATAGACTTGGTGCTCAGGGCCTGGAAGGATAGATCAGAGAGGTAAGAGCTCTTCTAGAAGGTCCAGGTTCAGTTCCCAACACCACAGGTGTCTAACCCGTCTGTACCACCAGTTCGAGGGCTCCAGCACACTCCTCTGTCCTCTGGACATTGCATAAACCAGGTGCACGTAATGTGCATGCAGGTCAGCAACTCTAAACAATGGTTCACGGTTAGTCAGTGACAACAGGGAAGAGCCAAGGCACAGTGGACAGGATTCGACCTGGAGGAGATACTGTGGCTTTTTGATAAATTTCCTATCAGCTCCGTTCATAGCTTATCTACCAAGAAAGAGAATCCTTTCCATAGCCTAGGCCTAGCTGAGGTGAAACTTCTAGAACAGGTTGGATGTGGGCTTGGTATAAATCAGCAGGGTTGGTATGAGAGCTGCTTGTCCTAGGCTCAGGTCTTTTTTTTTTAATTAGTGTTTTTCCAGTGGAGATGACATTGGAGATGATCCCTGTGGTAGCTGAAGCCGGCTACTCTGCCTTGTAAATCTGCCTGTGAATCTCACGGAGTCTGTCCTTGTAGGTCAAGCCTCTGTAGCCCAGACTGACCTCAAGCTCATGGAATGGTGTGGACCACCATACCGGCTATAAAGGTACCCATCTTACAGATCATTCTGGACCAGTTTATTACCTTGCCTCAGGCAGGTTTCTGCTTGGCTGGCACCCTCCAGGGGTTTAGTATGAAAATTCTCAAAGTCAAGAGGCATTTAAAAAACTTATTGTTTTTAATGTTAGACATTGGAACCCAGGGTCTTCTGTGTATGTGTTGAACAAGCGCTCTACCACCAAGCCGGATCCTAGCCCTTGATTTTAAAATTAAAACAATTATTATTATTATCATTGTTTGTGTGTTTGTATATGCCACACCTGCACCTGTGCAGAGGCCAGAGGGAAGGTGAAGGTGTTGGTGCATTTTACTATTATTGGCCTGAGTTTTGAAGCAGGGTCATTTCTTGAACCTGGAGCTAGGTTGGAGGCCAGCAATACCCAGGACTGCGTCTCTGTCCACCATAGCTTGGGGCACAGGCTTGTGGTGTTTTGTGGGTTCTGCGATCCAAACTCAGTAAGTGCCTATAAACCACTGTCTGTCGCTCTGGCTCTCCTGTTTCTTTTCTCTTTTCTTGTCATCCCCTTCTCCCTTCCTTCCTTTTTTTGATGTAGAGTCTCATTGTGTAGCCCTGGCTGACCTGCAACTTGCTGCTTAGATCAGGCTAGCTTCAAACTCAGAGCTCCACCTGCCTCTTAGATTCTTAACCAGGGTCTCACTGTGTAACCTAGGCCGACTTGAATTTGTGTTCTTCCTGACCCGGCCTTGATTGTTGGCATTACAGACATGTGTCACCATACTTGGTGCTCTGAGGCAATTGTTCAGAGGCAGAAAGCTGGTGGGTGATAGGTGAAGGGAAAGAAGACCTGTGTGCACGCGGAGGCAGGCCTGAGGCTGGGTGCTGGCGTGGCCCTTTGATGCAACAGTGGCTTGACTCCATGGATTGGCTAACCTCTCAGCTTGTCTGTGCTTGCTCCTTGGAACCAAACCTGCTTGGCTGTGAAAGGACCACGAGTGTTAGCGAGCAGCGTGACGAGGCTAGGAATATCGTCCAGACTGTGCGTGCAGGAGACGGTGTGTGTGATGCGTCTAGGTTCTTGTTTTTGTTTTTACTTTTTTGAGATACTGCTTTTAGGCAGACTTGGCCTGGAATTCACAAGAGATCAGCCTGCCCTGCCTTTCAAGTGCTAGGATTAAAGTCACGAACCTCTACGCTTCCTTTTAGGTTTCTTTTTTGTGCTGGTGCAGGTGTGTGCTGTTAGCTTCGGTTGCTACGAGCCTTTCACACCTTTCCTGGTTTAGCACCTCGGACTGTGATCACAGGTGTGGCTCATACCAGGGGGGCAGGGAGTGGTTCAGTTTACATATCTTCCCTGCAGAATCCTTAAGATGGTCCTCTGCTCAGCATAGCCGGGCAGGTGATTGCAGCATGAACACTTGGACTGTACAGGTGGGAACTGACCCTGGGCAGGGGCTTTCCCTGGGCCAGTCCCTGACTTGGGTT